GTTGAGCTGCACGATCTCTGTGTCACTGGTCTCCTAACTGCCATTCATTCACTCCAGTCACACCAGGTGGAATGTGTTTTCCCAAGGTTGTCCTGCCGTTCACTTTGCTGTGCTTTTGTCCACGCTCTTTTTCCACGCTGAAGATCTCCGTCCTCCAAACCTGCTTCCACCTCAGAGTTCAGTCTGGTGGTCGCCTCTGACCGGAAGCGCTTCCTGACTCCTGTAGTATCACTGTGCTCTGGTTTCTGCTATGTTTTGTTGTTCTCTTGTTACAAATACCGTGCTGCGTTCTTTTTTAAAATGTATTTTATTTTTTATTTTTACATTTTGCAGCTTTCTTTCATGCCTCTTTTTTTCCCTTACCTATGGGCTAGGGAGTAAGTACTAAGAAACATCTGGTGAGTAGACTGAGTTTACTGTTTACTCCCAGTTGGTAGCAGCAGCCTGATTTCCACCTGGTGATCAGGATCAGTCACCACAGCTTATTCTCTGCTTTTTGTTCAGTAGCACAAAGAACCCCAAATGGCCAGGGCAGTCTCAGCTTCTGATTTCATTTTTACTTTATTAAAAAACCCTTGCTGAAATACGCACACGAAAAAAGCAAAATTTCCAAGTGAGAGTGCAACAGATTGACACAAAACCACAACCTGTGTCCACCACCCAGGTGAAGAAATAGAGCATTATTAGTACTGCAGAAGCCCCCTCCTGGTCATTTTCCCACAGGAAACCACTAATCTGACTCCTGAAAGCATAGATTGGTTTTGTCTGTTCTTGAGCCTTGTGTAAGTGGGATCACACAGCATACACTCTTTTGCCACTGCTTTCTTTAGCTCAACATTATATTGGTGAGATTCATTCATATTTTTGCAGTTATAAGATAAGTTAGTTCCCTTTCATTGCTGTTTAAATATACCCCAATTAATATATCCCTTCCACTGTTGATGGACATTTGGGGTGTTTCCGGCTTTAGGCTATTCCAAGTCCTGCAGCCCCAGATATTCTTGCAAATGTCTCTTGGTGCACATGTGCACGCATTTCTCTTGTGCATATCTAAGGCTGCGGTGCTGGATCTTACGGAATGTACGTGTTCTGCTTTCATAGATTCTTCCAAATCATTTGTCCGAAGTGGTCGTACAAATTTATTCTCCTACCAGTAGTGTATGAGAGTTTTAATTTTTCCACATTCTTGCCAACACTGGCTTTTTCATTTTGGATAGTCGAAGTATTATGGTTGTTTATTTTTTAATTCAATTTATTTAAACTAAAAAAAAAAAAAACCACAAAAATAATTTACCCATTTCTCCTACCATCCACTCCCTGCCTCTGGCAACCACCAATCTGTTCTCTGCATCTATGAGCTTGTTTTTTTCATATATATATATATTCCACATGTAAGTGGCATCATATGGAATTTGTCTTCCTCTGTCTGACTTATTTCACTTACTGTAATGCCCTCAAGTTCCATCCATATTGTCACAAATGGCAAGATTTCATTCTTTTTTATGGCTGAATAATATTCCATTGTGTATATACCACATTTTCTTTATCCATTCATCCACTGATGGACGCTTAGGTTGTTTCCATATCTTGGCTCTTGTGAATAGTGCTGCGTCCTGCTTGGTTTAACAGATGACAGTTATACTCGCACATCTGCTTCTGTGTTCGTGTATTGGGATAGCACATGTCATTTAGCTCCATTGTGTTCTCATGAGAGAATGAGAAATGAAAAAGACAAATAATGTCTTCGTATTATGATAAGAATAGCTTTGACTTCACATGCCCTCAAAGGGTCTCAGGGTCCCCAGGGGTCTCTGAGCGTACTTGGAGATTCACTGCCCTAGTGATAAGTACTGTTGTCAGTTTGGTGTGTAATCTTCCAGACTTCTTTTAAAATGAGAAGTACTTTACCATAATACAATACACATACATGTTCCTGAAATTTACTTTTCACTCTTAATATATTAGAGAGCTTTCTATATCAATATGGATATATTTGCCCCATTCTTTTTTTTTTTTTTTTTGCTGTATTTTAATTATATTTTCAACTGTCATTTGCAAAGTGGATATTGAACAGTGATAATCTTATGAAATATAGTAATAGATATGGTTGGGGCCATTTTTTTTTTTAATTTTTTATTGATGTCATAGTAGTTTATAACATTGTGAGATTCCAGTTGTACATTATTGTTTGTCAGTCACCATATAAATGAGCCCCTTCACCCCTTGTGCTCACCCCCCAACCCCCTTCCCCCTGGTAACCACCAAACGGTTTTCTCTGTCCATGTGTTATTTTATATTCCACATATGAGTGAAGTCATACAGTGTTTGTTTTTCTCTGTCTGGCTTATTTCACTTAACATAATACCCTCCAGCTCCATCCACGTTGTTGCAAATGGGACGATTTTGTCTTTTTTTATGGCTGAGTAGTATTCCATTGTATATATATACCACATCTGCTTTATCCAGTCATCTGTTGGTGGACGCTTGGGTTGCTTCCATGTCTTGGCTATAGTGAATAATGCTGCAATGAATATAGGGGTGCATAAGCCTTTTTGGATTGTTGATTTCAAGTTTTTTATTTGGATAAATACCCAGAAGTGGGATAGCTGGATCATAAGGTATTTCTATTTTTCATTTTTTGAGGAATCTCCATACTGTTTTCCATAGAGGCTGCACCAGTTTGCATTCCCAGCAGCAGTGAATGAGGGTTCCCTTTTCTCCACATCCTCTCCAACATTTGTTATTTTTTGTCTTGGTGATTATAGCCATTCTCACAGGTGTAAGGTGATATCTTAGTGTAGTTTTGATTTGCATTTCCCTGATGATTAGTGATGTTGAACATCTTTTCATATGCCTATTGGCCATCTGTATATCTCCCTTGGAAAAATGTCTGTTCATATCCTCTGCCCATTTTTTGATTCGGTTATTTGTTTTTTTGTTGTTCAGATGTGTGAGTTCTTTATATATTAGGGAGATTAACCTCTTGTCGGGTATAAGGTTTGCAAATATTTTCTCCCAGCTGGTGGGTTGTCTTTTCATTTTGATCCGGGTTTCTTTTGCCTTGCAGAAGCTCTTTAATCAGATAAAGTCCCGCTTGTTTATTTTTTCTTTTGTTTCCCTTGTCCCAGTAGACATGGAATTCGAGAAGATCCCTTTATGACCAATGACCAATAGTGTACTGCCTACGTTTTCTTCCAGGAGTTTTATAGCTTCAGGTCTCACCTTCAGGTCTTTGATCCATTTTGAGTTAATTTTTGTGTATGGCGAAAGAAGATGGTCTACCTTCATTCTTGTGCAAGTGACTGTCCAGTTTTCCCAGCACCATTTATTGAGACTTCCCTTTCTCCATTGTATGTTCTTTGCTCCTTTGTTGAAGATTAGCTGCCCCTAGATGTAAGGTTTTATTTATGGGGTTTCAGTTCTGTTCCGTTGATCTGTGTGTCTGTTTTTGTACCAGTATCATGCTGTTTTGATTACTGTCACTTTGTAGTATGTTTTGAAGTCAGGGATTGTGATGCCTCCAGCTTTGTTCTTTTTTCTCAAGATTTCTTTAGCTATTTGGGGGTCTTTTGTTGCCCCATATGAATTTTAGGATTTTTTGTCTGTTTCCGTGAAGAATGTCATTGGGATTCTGATTGGGATTGCATTGAATCTATAGATTGCTTTAGGTAGTGTGGACATTTTAACTATGTTTATTCTTCCAGTCTATGCGCATGGAATATCTTTCCGTTTCTTTATGTCATCATCGATTTCTTTCAATAATGTCTTATAGTTTTCATTGTATAGGTCTTTCACCTCCTTGGTTAAATTTATTCCTGGATATTTTATTCTTTTTGTTGCGATTGTAAATGGGATTGTATTCTTGAGTTCTCTTTCTGTTAGTTCGTCATTAGTGTATAGAAATGCAACTGATTTCTATAAGCTGATTTTGTACCCTGCAACTTTGCTGTAGTTGTTGATTATTTCTAATTGTTTTCTGATGGATTCTTTAGGGTTTTCTATATATGAAATCATGTCGTTGGCAAACAGCAAGAGTTTCACTTCTTCATTCCCTATTTGGATTCCTTTTATTCCTCTTTCTTGCCTAATTGCTCTGGCCAAAACTTCCAGCACTATGTTGAATACCAGTGGCGAGAGTGGGCACCCTTGTCTTGTTCCTGTTCTCAGAGGGACGGCTTTCACTTTTTCTAGGGGCCATATTTTAAAAAGACTCAACAGATAGGTGAGATTATTCTGTAAACACAGCAGTAATGGAAGATTTTTGATCTGGATTGGAAAGAGATGAGTAAAATGTTTTAAGATTAATATTTCAGTAACGTATCAATTAATGAGAAGAGGAGAAACTGTAGAGAAGGAGATCATATAGAAAATCTTCGGGAGAGACTGAGTGCTTGGAAGTAGCTAATGGTCTCGGGGTTCCCACGATAGGAAGAGAGGTTAACAGTATTGCGAGAGGAGAAATGGCAGCGTGTGACAACAGGCTGGTTATGGAAGGACAAGTCACAGTGAAGAGTGGCTGGGATCGCAGACGGCTCTGTGGGGTGGGGTGGTGTCCTGAGAGAAACACACAAAAACGAGAACCTAGTTTTGGTGGAAAGATAAGCTTTCTGGCTTTAATTTCTTTAGAACCCCTCTAGCTCTAAATTACTCATTTTATGGCCTGTTTACCCTTAAATTATGCCTTTAATGGCATATGAGTGCCAGGCCCTGGTCATTTTGAAGCCTGTTACAAGTCTAAAATGGTTGTAAGAAAGGATACTTCCTTTGCCTCCTCTCTCTTCTACTTTTATATTTTAAAACGACTATATAGAGAAGATTTTGGAAAATTGAAGTTATATTGACTTTTGTATTTGTTAATAAATATGCTTATTTTAAAAGACATGTCTATTAAAATGGCCTGTGCGTGGATTTCTTAAATTACTGACACGTGGGCAGATTGAATGCTGTGTGACTATAACAGAAACAAATACTCATTACACTACTTCAATTTAATTATACAGATGCAGGACAGCTGGAGTACACATTGACGAATCACTGTTCCCTGCGGCTAATACTAATGAACACTTACCAAGCCTAATTAAAAAAAAAGTAAGTATGCAATTTCAATATAGATAGTGGCAATTATGAATTTTTTTTTTTTTTTTTTTTTTTGTGAGGAGATCAGCCCTGAGCTAACATCTGCCAATCCTCCTCTTTTTTTGCTGAGGAAGACTGGCCCTGGGCTAACATCTGTGCCCATCTTCCTCTACTTTATATGGGAGGCCGCCACGGCATGGCTTGCCAAGCGGTGCGTCGTTGCGTGCCTGGGATCCGAACCGGCGAATCCCAGGCCACTGCAGCAGAGCGCACACACTTAACTGCTCGCGCCACCGGGCTGGCCCCTGAATTTTTTTTTTTATGCGTAGAAAATAAAACTTTTAGAAATATATTCAAGAGTTGTCTGAAGTATTGCTGTTGATGATATTGTTCTTTTCACATAGCATTTTTTAGCAAGTTATAGAGATTATTTTATCCTATGAATGCTTCGAAGTAATTTGTAAGAAATGGAAGAGACTGTGGTTGGCCAAGAGAAAACTAAAAGTTGCGAAGAGACCAGCAAACATTCAAGTGCTCTGGTAATTACTTCAGAATTCAGTGTTATGTCTGTAGTAAGATGCATTTGTTCTGTTTAGCTGGAAAATCGCAAAGGCTGAAGCAGAGATATCCAAGTGTGTCAGGTTGTTTATTACAGAAAATCTGCTGTACAAGTATAAAGACTGCTTTTTTATGAGGTCTAATTCACACTGAATGACAACCTTTTCAGTTTTTATTTATTTGAAAGTTTTAGAGGCCAGCCTGGTGGCATAGTGGTTAAGTTCGCACGCTCTGCTTTGGCAGTCCAGGGTTCACAGGTTCACATCCTGGGCATGGACCTACACACCTCTTATCAAGCCATGGTGTGGCAGGCGTCCCACATATAAAGTAGAGGAAGATGGGCATGGACGTTAGCTCAGGGCTAATCTTCCTCACCAAAAAAACAACAACAACAACAACAAGTTTTCATTGTGATTTCTTTATTTGAGGGTAAACTGGTTTATTATGAAATGTCAACGTCACTTTGTTTTCACGTGAGAATCCCTGTTGGAGAGAAGATTTGCAGACTTTCTCCAAACTGAATTAGACAGACTAGAACTGTACATTTCCTGTAGGTTAAAGAAGACATTCCTGTGGATGTCTCCAAATTTTCTGCAAATAGTAAATCATATGCCTCTTGTTATATTTCATCTCAGACAAGCCATGGTTTGCTAGTGCTGTGATGGATAACTTCAGTCTCCATCCAGATCTTCTTATCTGATTATAGGTGAAATAAAGCCTCTAACAGTCTCTTGACTCTCTGTGATATGCTGAGCAATAGCTATGTCTGTTATTTTAAAAATATTTATTTAATAAACGGACATCTCTCTTCATTTCCTTTCCCTCAAAATAGGCAGTTTTCAATGTGACTCGGGTCCTTGTGAATCCATGGTCTTTGTACACATATGTCACATGTATGTGTGCACACACATTCTACACGAATGAGGTTCTAGTATATTACATGTATTGTTTGGTAGGTTGCTTTTTCTTCACTTAACAGTATGTCTTTGACAATTTCACGTTAGTGCGTCTTACCTCTACTTCGTTTTTCTGCATTGTAGTATATATAACATGAATGTAGTGTTCTTGGAGTCATGCTTAGATCATTGTTGGTTTTTGCTAAGCACATAGTTTATATGACATATTTGAGTTTATTTCTCCAAGTGGACTATCTAGAAATGAAATTACCAGGTCAAATGGATATACATTTTGATTTTAACAGTTCCACCAATAGAGAACAAGAGTACCTATTAACACTCTGACCAATGCTGGGTATTATTAATCTTTTTAATTTTTCCTAATCTGAAGCATAAATAATGACTGCTCATACAATTCACCACTTAAATTTTTACTCATGCCTAAAAATATTCCCTTTCCTTCCCTCTTGCAAATACAACTGCAAATTAAACGTGACTTCAGGCCTTATTATTTTGGGTTCTTGGAAGAGGTTCTCTGCTTCGCTCTCCCTCACTCTTTCTGCTGCCAGCCTGACGCTCTTGCTTGCTGTTCTTCAAACATATCAAGCGTATTTGTGTTTTAGAGCCATTGCATCGTCTATTCCCTCTGTCTGGAGCATGCTTCCCCCCAAAATCCATCCACATGACTAGTTTTCTAACTTCCATAGGGCTTTGTGCCCGAGTTACTGTCTCAGTGAGATGTCCCCTGACTACCCTATTTACGTTAGTAGTTCCTTCCTGCTGTGCCAGCTGTCCTGATCTCTGTTACCTGCTCTTTTCCTTTTCGTCTGTAGTACTTACCCCTTTCTAAAATACTGTTAACAACGATAGCAGTTAGATAGGGTTTAGTTGCTGTTGAAGATTCACAGGACCCCAATAACAGTGCTTCAGAATCTACAGACCAGGGAGCCTCTAGAGGAGCCTCTTATATTCTGCTGGTCGTGTACCTATGTTCTCTCATTACCCTACCTCCCCGCCCCCTAGAACGACAGAGCCCTCCCTCCAGTAACAGACAAGGTTGACACACTTTGGGGATACAAACGGACCCAAACTCCATGGACCCGTAGTTACAAAGCAACACTGTTAATTAGTATATTGCATGCTCTGCAGGTACTTTGGTGAAAACAATTCATGCCAGTTCCAGGCCTGCTGAAGTTAACCCTCCCGACACACATGCAGTGTAATTTACTTATTTATTATGTTTATTTCTGTCATTCCTTAATAGAATATAAGCCCATGACGGCAGGGATCTCTTGCTTTCAAGAACAGTGCCTGACACGTAATAACATGTTTGTTAAATGACAAATGAGTGAATAACTCACTGATAGAGCAATGTGCTAAATCGAGAACGTAAGTGTAGGCATTAGCCTTGAATGGCTAAAAGAAGTCCTTTCTTAAGACTGGAACAAAAGAGGTTAGACTAGGTACCCACATAAACATGTTGGACTGGTGGCTTCAACCTGAAAACCAAAAGCGGCCTAGACAGAAGACATATCTCTCTCGAGTCCTTAAGAGAGCGCTCAGGTGTAGAAACAGTAGTAGATAAAGATAATGCTACATTCAGTTTTTGTATTTGTGGGGGTAGCTGGGCCAAATGGGAAGTTCTGAAGAAGAGATAGTGGGGAGGGCAGGTTTGAAGGGGACATGTTCCCCTTTTTATCCGAGGATGGGAAGATTAGAAAGTTAACCCCAGACTTGCTCATGGATGTCAGCCTTGGGCTTCATGTGTTTGAGGTTTCCTTATTTTGTCACACTTTGTATGTGTAGTTACAGTTTTTGATTTTTACTGGCTGAGTGGAGTTACTGTGATTTAAACACGGTAAGGCAAGATTAAATAATGGTTCTTTTCTTTGGTAGTTATAAAATAGTTGCTTTTGTGTTTTATTACTATGTCATGATTTTTGGGGGGGAGGGGAAATAACATGAGAGTAGCAGAAATAAGGAAAAAGACACTAATTTTGTTTTAAGAACCTTCATGGAAACTAAGAATGCAAGGATCCTGAAAATGCCACACAAAACATAACTACTTAATGTACAGCCTTTTATTCAGTCTTAAAATTCTGTCCATATTTTTACAATTGCACAAAAAAGAAATAAATATTTACAATTCACATATAATGCAAAAAATACCTCTTGAAGAAGTTTTTATTATTAATGTTATAAAGTGTATCAGAAATGTTCCTGAAAGGGTTGTTTTCCTGTCTTACGCAGTTGCAGCACTATATCATTAATTTTTATGTCCTTTTTGCACAGCGAAGGTGTATGCAGCCCAAAGATTTTATTCCTAAAACACCAAAAAATGATAAGAGACTTCAAAAGAAATTTGAGAAAATGGCTCAGGAGCTACAAAAGCAAAAAACAACTCTAGGTAAGCAAGTCCTCTGCATTTGTGTTTGTACATCTAGTTTAATTTGCCTGACGAGCAGTGGCATCCAGGATGACAGAGCTAAGGGGGACTGCAGTGGTTCTAGCCTAGGAAGGAGAAAATAGAATGTAAGTCACCCAGAAGACTTGACTACAGCCATTATAGGGCCGTACAGTTGCTCTAATTGATCACAAAGTTTTGTTTTTTTTTTGGTGGGGAGGAAGATCAGCCCTGAGCTAACATCTGCCAATCCTCCTCTTTTTGCTGAGGAAGACTGGCCCTGGGCTAACATCCATGCCCATCTTCCTCCACTTTATATGGGACGCCACCACAGCATGGCTTGACAAGTGGTGCATGGGTGAGCACCCGGGATCTGAACCAGGGAACCCCAGGCCGCCGCAGTGGATCGCGCGCACTTAACTGCTTGTGCCACTGGGCCGGCCCCTTGTTTTTTTTTTATTGAGGTGTAATTGACATATAGCATTATATTAGTTTCAGGTGTACAACATAATGAATTGATATTTGTATACATTGTGAAATGATCACCACGATAAATCTAGTTAACATCGGGATCACCACGATAAATCTAGTTAACATCTATCACCATACATAGTTACAAAATTTTTTTTCTCTTTTTCTTCTTGTGATGAGGACTTTTAAGATGTACTCTCTTAGCAACTTTCAAATATTTAATACGGTATTATTAACTATAGTCACCATGCTGTACATTACATCCCTGTGACTTAATTATTTTATAACTAGAAGTTTGTACCATTTGATGCCTTTTACCCAGTTCTCTCCTCTCCTCCAACCACCAGTCTGTTCTCTGCATCTATGAGTTTGGGTTGTTTTTAATTTTTTTTAAGATTCCACATATAACTGAAGTCATATGGTATTTGTCTTTCTCCTTCTGACTTATTTCACTTAGCGTAATGCCCTCAAAGTCCATCCATGTTATGGCAAATGGCAAGATTTCCTTCCTTTTTTATGGCTGAATCATATTTCATTGTGTATGTATACCACATTTTCTCTATCCATTCGTTCATCCGTGGGCACTTAGGTTATTTCCATGTCTTTGCTGTTGTAAACAATGCTGTGATGAACGTGAGGGTGCATATATCTTTTCAAATTAGTGTTTTTGTTTTCTTTGGATAAGTACCCAGAAGTGGAATTGCTGGAACCTATGGTAGTTCTATTTTTAATTTTTTGAGAAACCTTCATACTGTTTTCCATAGTGGCTACACCAGTTTACATTCCCACCTGGAGTGCACAAGGGTTCCGTTTTCTCCACATCCTCGCCAACACTTGTTATTTCTTGTCTTTTTGATTATAGCCTTTCTAATAGGTGTAAGGTGATATCTCCTTGTGGTTTAGATTTGCATTTCACTGATGATGAGTGATGTTGAGGATCTGTTCGTGTGCCTGTTGGCCGTCTGTATGTCTTCTTTGGAAAAATGTCTATTCAGATCCTCTGCCCATTTTTTAATTGGATTGTTTGTTTTTTTACTAGATATATTCTTTTAATGATTTAGAAAAATAACATCATGAAACTCTAAAGTACTTTATGTGTTTTTGATATTTCTCTTTTTTTGCCTTTTTCACTATCCTCTAAGTTCAGTATTTCACACCAGTCCTGACACATCGTTGATACAAATAAGCAATTTTGGTAACTATATAATGCATAGTATAGAAATAGGAAGCGTTAATTCCTCCAGTTTTTTTCTTTGTTTTATTATCTAGTACTATGTCACAAATTCTCTGCTCTGTATTTTGGAGTTATTCACATAGAATTATCAAGCTTTATTTTAAATCTGTCATAATAATGTAAGAGAATTGACTAGAACATGTTGGCTGCACAGTGCTGCCAGATAATTTTCCAAAAACATTGTCTTTATCATTTGTTTTTGTGGTCAGTCATCCTACTGCCTGAGAATCAAGTCTCTTCTCTCCTGGTGCCCTGCGGGCCCCTCCCTGACAAGCCCACACTAACCGTCTGGACTGCCAGGATGCTCCAGACAGAAACATGGAGTTCTCCATGATGTTGCTTTCTGCCCTGACACTGACTACCCGTCCAGACCCTTAGAGCACCCTTAGACTCTGCTTCTGAAAGGACTGCTCACCCCCTTCTCTGCTCTCTTTCCAAGTCCGCATCACCCCCACTTGAATCACTGTAGCAGTTCCTTCCCTGGGCCCTCCAGGCGCTGTGTCCTTATCCGTCGTACTTTGGTGAGAACGATGTCAATCGGAAGTCAGGTGGACTTAAAATTCCTCATTGTCATCCTAAGAAAAAAGTATTTAGGATAAAATCCTATATTTAACGTGTTTTACAATCTACCACAGCCCGTATGATCTGCATATGTACGCGTATGTTCAGAGGTGCAGTAGGAGTTGTTCAAGCCTAAGAGTTGCAAAGAAGAGGATGTTGAATGATGCTGGTCTTTTTTTTATTAGGGGGCAGGTGGTCAGAGTCCTCAAGTTCTCTTTGAGCATATGCAGGTTATGGATTCTGGAAAAACGCACAACCATGTACCCACACAATGAATTAGCCCATTATTTTATGGCTCCAGGACCCCCCTGACCCCAGAGTTCATATGCGGGTGTAAGAGTGTCAGCTGAGGTAGGGGCGTCAGTGGTGGCAGTTGCTGAAACCTAGGGTAAAAACCATGGTAGGAGAGGCAGAACTTCTTCTCTACCCCTCTTAGGTCCTCGGCTGGGCTCTGTAACAAGAGACAGAGTAGCAAGAGCAAAGCATACAAATTTATACCAGTTTTTCATGACAAAAGAGCCCTCACAAGGAAATGAAGACCCCAAGAAGTGGCAAAACCTAAATGCTGATGTACTAGGTTCAACAAAGAGGCAATTGTGGAAAAGTAGCTAAACTATAAGGGGTGACCAAAGGAAGATAAGAGTTATTTTAACAAGGTCTGTTTGTACAGAATTCTCGTGGCCTCGGCTCCCCGTCTCTGGTTTAAGAATGTTTCTTTCCTCCTGGTAGAAGGAGGGCATCTTTTATCAGGGAGTTGTATCTCCCGCCTTCAGGAAGTAAAGGGAGGGTCAGAGCACCCTTCTTGGACCTATTGTTTTTTAGGTGCCTTTAGCTCAAAATAATCCTTATGCCAAAGTGGCATGTTTTGGGGTGGCATAGTCTACCATCTGTTACCACATATAGGAACCACATTTCATTGTGGCTTCACCTTCTCACTTAGTTGTGTGATCCTAGGTAAATACTTAACTTCTGCGTCTCGGTTTCCTCATCTTTAAATGGGGATACTGATACCTGATGCCTTGGGTTTGGGGGAAGTTTGAATGGGACAGTGCACATGTGGTACTTAGCACAGTGCCTGCAGTGGACATTGCTCAGCAAATGCTAGCAGTTGTAGTGTGGGGTTACTGGTCGTGGAGGTGGTGGTGATAGAATATTGGTAGTAGGTAATGGTGTTGAAGGGGAAGAGGAAAACTATGGGGTGGGGGGCTGGATGTTCCTTAAAAGGAATCATATTATTGAGGTAGGAAGGCACTTTTTTTGAGCTTCAAATTGGATTTTTGTTTATTTTCAGATAATGGTGTACCTGTTCTCTTATTTGAGTCTGATGGTTCGTTGATGTATAGTCCCACAATTAAAATGTACAGTGGTCACCACATCGGAATGGAGAAGAGATTACAGGAGATGAAGGAGAAAAGGGAAAATCTTTCCCCTGCCTGTAAGTGCTTACATTTTATAAAATGAAAATTATGCCAATAGGTGAATAAATTGTGGTGGAAAGGTTTTTTTTCTTCTTTACCTAGATATTTTAGTTTATGTTTCCTGATTCTAATAGACTTTGACCTATTTCAGAGTAGACTTGGTTAATATTTTCATCCAGGAAATCTTATTCTTCCTTAAGATTTTTTAAGCATATATTGAGTGTATAGCATTCTCCAAGTTCAAAATCCTGTTTGTTGCAGCTCCTTTGTAATTTTTAATATCTTTGGGGATTTTTTTTAAATTAAATTAATCAGGCCACTCTTTTGAAGGAATTTGCTTTAGATTAAGTATCTAAAGCATCAGTTTATATTTTTATTTCGTTTATCTTTCAAATTTTTAATTAATATATAAGCACATTTTCATAAAACATTTACCAGTGTATGGCTCATAGTAAAAATCCATCTTGATTCCCACCTAATTCTCCTCTGCCCGTGGGTAACCCGCATCTTAAGGTGATGTGTTTTCCCAGATCTTTTCCGGTACGTCACGTATCTGTATATACACGAAAAAGATGCAGGCTTCTGTATCTTTCTATATGGAGGTATAATTTTTCTTTACCTAAATTGGATCATGGCATACCTATTACTTTCAGCTTTGTTTTTCTTACTTGAAAGTGTCTTGGAGGCTTTTTCAGGGCAGTAGGTGTGGACCTACCTCTTTTTTCTCTTTTTTTAAGATGCTGCAGAGTAGTCTAGTGTTTTAATATTGAATCATCTATCTGTTGGTGGATGTTTTTCCAATTTTTCTTGTTTAGAAATAGTGCTGCAATTTTTATTCTTTTTAAATTAGCTAGTATAGTTGTTCTTGTTTTTTATTTAACCGTTGTCCTATCTATGGACATAAGGCTTTCCGCCCACTTTTTAGTGTTATAATGTATACACAAGTGGACATACTTTTACATAAATCTTTATGTTCCTGTGTATTTCGATAATATTAATTCATAAAGGCAGAATTTAACGTTTTTGATAGATATTATCAGATTGCCCTTCAAAAAGTCTGTAGCATTTTATCTTTTGCCAGTCGTTTGTATAAGAATGCCAGTTTCTCCGCGCTTGGAAAACTGGATCACGTTAGTCTTTACATCTTTTTCAATCTGAGATTGAAAAACTGGATTTCTTTGTTTAATTTGCTTTTGAGGTTGCTGGTGAATTTGCTAATGAGGTAAATGTCTTTTTATGTTATTGATTATGACTATTACTGACTATAGCTTTTAATGTTATACTCTGTATATTATCTCTGTGAATTATGTCTTTGTCCAAATGCCTATTATAGTCGTGCTCCACATAACGATGTTTTGGTTAATGACGGACTGCATATATTATGGTGGTCCCAGAAGATTAGTACCGTACAGTCTAGCTGTGTAGTATACTATACCATCTGGGTTTGTGTAAGTGTACTCTGTGACATTCACACAGCGATGAAATCACCTAACGACGCATTTCTCAGAACGTGGCCCGTCGTTAAGTGAGGCATGACTATATATTTTTCTTTTCTTTCTCATTTGTAAGAGCTTTTTCTGTATCATGCATATTAATTCCTTGTTATATGTCGTAAACATTTTCTCCTAGCTTTCCAGTGTGGAGCACAGTGTGCTTATGTAGTAGGCACTCGGTAAATATATTGTTGAATAAAATACACAAAATCTATTGTTCGTCATTTAATATGCAGCAACGTTTGTTGAACAGAAATGTTAGATTTAATATAGACAAATCTGATTGTCTTTTCCTTATGGCATCCAGGATTCTGTGATGCTTAGAACTCCTCCACCATAAGCTTTTAAAATTGTTCTGTGTTTTCTTCCATTACTTTTATGGTTTATTTTTTAAGGTTAGATATTTAATCTATCTCAAGTTTATATTTATGTATGATATGCACTGGGCACCTATACCAGTTAAGGTTAGTTTTGGCTGCATATAACAGAAACACAAAACCAGTAGGTTAAATTAGGTGCACTTCTCTGTCATGTCAAAGAGGTCAGAAGTAGGCCGTCGTGGGGTGGCCATTCTGTGGTGTCTTTGAGAATCTAGGCTCCCATCTTTCTGCTTTGCCTTCCTTGGTGCCTGGCTTCTGTTTCAAAGTGCGTGTGCCTCCCAGCTGGGCCAGCTCGCTGTGAGCAGCCTTACCAAAAGTCCTATCCAGTGTTGCTGCCGAATCCCATCAGTCAGGACTCAGTCTTGTAACTACTCCTGGTTGCAAGCTAAATGCAACCATTTATGGCCAGAGAGCTACAAGAGCAAAAAACTACTCTAGATAAGCCAAGAAATATAATACAGTTTTTTGCATTTGTGTTCATATACCTAATTTAATTTGCCTGATGACCGGTGGCATTCAGGATGACAGAGCTAAGGGGGCCCGCAGTAGTTTTAGCCTAGGAAGGAGAAAACATAAGTCACCTGCAGGAGACTGCGAGCAAGACTGAAATGTAGTCTTTCAGCAGGGTGTGTTGCTGCACTAGTAAAATCAGGGTTGTGTTGTTAAGAGGAAGGTGAGAATGGATAATGAGGTAGGTAACTAGCAGTATTCTAGATGAATATCCAAATTGTTTCAACATATAATTATGTATATACCTATATTCCTTAAACTTTATTTCATTACTTTGCAGTGTTAATTCTTCCACTCAGCTGCATCTAGCACAATTTAAAATTCAACAACTGAAAATTTTATCTCTGTGCTTACCTTTCTTATCTTGGTTTATTCTCATTTTATGATTGCTTGCTTAAGTTTTCTCAGAAAAGCATCCTTTTTCGTCTTTAAAAAAATCTTTGGATATGAGACCAAACATCTCTTTTGTTTCTTATTTGTTGTGTACACAGCCTTTGAAGATAACACTTATGAGTTTATTTTTAAATCACTGATATCTGGATGCTTTCTGTGAAACCGCTAGGATTTCTCAACTCAGCACTGTTGACATTTTGGGCTGGGTAATTCTTTTGGAGGGGGCCGTCCTGTGCGTGGCAGGATGTTTCACAGCATCCCTGGCTTCTGTGCACTGGATGCCAGCAACATGGCTCACACCCCCCCACCCCACTCCTCCACATGTGACATCCAGCAGTGTCTACTGACATTGCCAAGTGTCTGCAGGAGCCAAAATCGCCCCTGGTCGAGAACCACTGCTCCAGTTACAGAGGTAACTGTTACCAGCATCCTTGAAGAAAAAGCCTTGATTATTAACAGTAGGTTTAACTGAAACTATTTGTTTACCTTTGTTGAGCTTCTGCTTAGATCCAGGCAAGCTGACTTTTCAAGATCCCTTCTGACTTTAATTATCCTATGTTTAATCCTTTTTTTATAAGATGATTTATGACGATTATTTTTTGTGATTCTCATCATCTGTAATAGATTCGAGTGAGAGTTTTTTGGGCTTACTGTTTGCAGTGAGTCTGGAATATGAAGTACAAGGCACCGGTCGATGTGTAAGTGATTCGTGAGAGTAGAGTGAGTTTGGGTTACCATTGGCTTCATCCCTAAGACGTGTCCAAGTCGTGTCTAATGAAATGTTTGGATGATGTTTCAGCTTCTCAGATGATTGAAAATTCTCAGGATAACCCGGTTAACTCCACGCGTGAAGAGTCTTTGACCATTTCACATGATACTTTGTATTCAGGTAAAATAACTTTCTTTTCTGTGATATATTTAAGCTGTGAGAATAGTATGGTTTTTATATTTGGAATTTTTTCTGATGAGAAGAACAGTTAAAAACTAGAATTCATGAATTTCACCCTGAAATTAGGTATTATAATAAAAATAGGTATTGTACTAAAATTAAGGCATGAGAAATTATATGAGTTAAAGTTCCTTTTTGATTCCTATGGTTTTTCTCCTGAGCATTTGCTTTCTTGGCACAGAATCCATTGCTCACTTTTTAAAAAACTTTGTGACCTTATGTGAACTGCATGCAGTTTAATCTGTATATTACTGAGAACAGTAAGAGAGACAAGGGAAAATTGTTTCACACCATGTATAATGAATATATGGAACAAGTTATTGAATGGGGTCAGTGAAGTATGTACAGATCATCAAAAAATTTAGGAGATAGAGGATTTCTAATTAGAAGCAGAAAGGGTGTTGGTAACAATGAAATTAGAGTTATGTATTATAGACATATGTATTTTTAATGTGGAAGCCCTTATTTCTCTTTGAATGATAATTTTTCATGGTTGTAGCTTTCTTTTGGTTATGTCACATTTCTTATAATTTTCTCACCCAGCCCACGATAGGGCCCAAATAAGTAGCAGTGACCCCCTAAAAGAACTGTGTTCAAAAGTGCTTGAAATGTTATGAAATGCCTTTTTATGAAAGCTACAGCGCTGACCAATCACAAAACAATGTCAAGGTATTAGGAGTTTAAAGCTTCCTTTTCATGCGTGGTTTATTCTTGTACTCTTTTTGGTATGTGTTGAAATTATTTACCCATTTATCTTAAATAATCTCTATCTTTTTATTTCACACTTGTGTTTATTTCTTATAAGTTGGAAACAAGTGATAATAATAACTAATGCGGATTTCATTTTTCCTGTGTTGTAGGCCCTGCTGTTTTGTCTTATGTGCTGTTTCTCATGTAATTCTCCCATTAGCCCTATGAAGTAGGTGCCGTTGTTGTCCCCATTTTGTCCCTGAGAAACCAGGTCAGAGAGAGGTCAGACAACTCATACGAGGTCACAGTTTGTGAGTGGCCAGCCCAGGATGCAAACCTAGGCAGTCCGACTTCGGCGTTTACCCCATGACATGTCGTGCTGCTTGTCAGCTTTTTGAAAAGTGTGCTTAGCTTCTTCAGCTGCCAAAATTCGTATAAGTGTCCTATATTTCCAGCTGCTGACTTAGAAACGCACAGGTTCCCTGACTTTGCTTGGGCACGGCCCCACCCTGCCCGTGGGCTTGCTTTTGCTGCTTGTTGGTTGCCTGTGTTCTTCCTCTTGAAAAGGAGAGCTTTAGTGGTTTCGATCAGTAAGTTATGACGGTTTCTATCAGTAAGTTACGACACTTAACGTTACCTCCAGGGTTGTGTGGTTTCTGTAAAGTGGAGGTCCTCCTTCCATTCAGCAAGTGCCTAGCCCCTATTAGGGGAGCCAGCTCTGGGTTAGAGGCTTCGGATTCCAGAACGTAGTGTCTCTGGGACCTTCGAGTCTAGTGAGAGGACAGATAGAAATGTAATCACAGTGTGATGTGACACATGGTTTTATAAACTTAGGTTGGAATTCTGTGTGACTAGACCTGGTAAAGTCAGTGGAAGGATTCAGAAGTTTTGACATCCAGGGTGGATTTTTTTTTGTGAGGAAGATTAGCCCTGAGCTAACATCCACTGCCAATCCTCCTCTTTTTGCTGAGGAAGACTGGCCCTGGGCTAACATCCGTGCCCATCTTCCTCTACTTTATATGGGACGCCGCCACAGTGTGGCTTTACAAGCAGTGTGTCAGTGCACACCCGGGATCCGGACCTTCGAACCCCAGGCCGTGAAAGCGGAGCGCGCGCACTTAACCACTACGCCACCGGGCTGGCCCGCGGGGTGGATCTTGAGGGAAGAGTAGGATTTATCCAGATTCAAGTGTGGAGGAAGAGCAAGGCCTGGAGGTGTAAATGCATATACAGTTTTCACGGGCTAGGTGGCAGCTTAGCATTACTCTTAAGAAATACATAAAATATATGGGAAATCAGAACATTAAGATCTACCAGGTGGTTCACCTTTGAATATAAATATAGTGTGAGACTTCAGTGGAAGACAGAGGAGTCGAGGTGGGCTGTATTAAATTGTGGAACACTTCATGAAGACCAGAACTTGGCGTAGACCCGAAAGCAGTAGTTCTTCACGTTTAGAAAATCGTTGGCCTCCTTGAGAGTTTAATGACAGGGTGTGGAGGCTCTTCCTGGAGAAAGGTGTACATGCGTATGAACATCCAGAAAGTGTGCATAACATCTTTAGAGGTTTGTTACCTCCCTCCCTCAACCCCCGTCCCATCCGATGCACACGTTGAAGCCCAGTTTCCCTAGTTAAAATGCTGACCGTAGAGGTGTCCATAAGTGGAAACGAGGAGAACCAGGATGTGGTCAGTACTCTTCTTAACTGTGATTAGAAAGTATTACGTTATTGGTCAACTGAAAATTACTTCTATAATAATTTAAAACACTTTTAAAAGTTAATTCTTTATTAATATTTTCCAGATGAATCCTTTGCTGGTGGTCTACACTCATCTTTTGATGATCTTTGTGGAAACTCAGGATGTGGGAATCAGGAAAGGAAAGTGGGAGGATTTGTTGATGAAATCAAAAGTGATATGTGTGTTTCGTCACCTGTATTGAAAACAAGTAGTATTCATTTATCAGCATCTCCCGGTTACCTCAGTCAATTAACGCCACAGAAATCCATGAGTAACCTTTCAAAGGAAGAAATAAATTGGCAGAGAGATCGTGTGGGTGAAGTAGTCACTCCTGACACAAAGCATTCTGAAAGAGTATCTAAGGAGATGTTTGATACGAAGCATAGTTTGTCTCCTGAGTTATCTGCAACAAAAGGCCACCCTGTGGGACATTCACGACCCAAGAGTTCCTCAGCAAAGAGAAAAATAACATCAGAGAACTTGCCTTCACCTCCAAAAGAAAAGCTAAAGAGAAAGAGGTGTAGTGGGAAAGCCGCTATGCCAAAACTGCAGCTGTTTAAGTCAGAACACAGCCTACAGTTTAGGACGAGATCTGTTCCCGAGACTGCTGACTGCGGGGAGTCCTCTTACGATGATTATTTTTCACCTGTTAATCTTAAGGAAAGGAATTCAGAGAACCTTCTTCCTGGATGTCAGTCATCATCAAGCCCTGCCCAGTTCAACTGCAGAAGGAATCTTTCTAAGAGGGAGAGAACAACCATCTTAGAAATGTCGGATTTTTCCTGCATTGGTAAAAATGGCGGATCAGTTGGCATTACCAATTTAACAACAGAAACCAGCCCCCGTCTTCAGAGACCTACAAATGACAAAGGAAACACAACATTGGGTTGCGTGACTTTTAAGGAAGTGTCTGCTACTGAGGAAACTCCAGGGTTTTGTGGACAGGCTGCCCTTCAGACAAAAGAAGACGTGAGCGCAGATGGAAAAAGTCTCTCTTCCTGCACCGTTAATGAACTCAGTCTTCAGAAAGCACATGTAGCGAAAGAGCATCATGGTGATTCAACTCCTTTGAAAGGCAGCAATAAAGAAATGAAGGAATTAAGTGACGTAAAAACCAGGCAGAAGGAAGATACTACTTCTAAAATGTTGAATTCCTCTGAAGGTGAAACACAAAGTGATTATAAGCTAAATTTTGTAGATGATTGTAATGTGGACAAATCTACGGAAGAAAGAGAAAACTTACCCAGAGAATGTAGTGAAAGTATGTGAATCTCCTTTTCCAAGTTTCTGTGTTATTGGAGTATGTAATAGTGCATCTCTCTTTCAGATTTATCACAACTCTTTCATAGTGAAGATATTTCTTTCTCCCTCAATTTTTTTGCTTTAAAGAATGTGTTTGATATTTTCCAATGATAAATTCTTTAGGAATAGATGGCTTACCACTGTGTGGAATTTCTAGGCTCATTGGTCAAACCAGTTGTTATGAATGCATTTCTCCAAGCTTTTTCCTTCTTATGGGTGAAAGTGATACCTCATGTGAATAATCGACTAGAGTGGATGCTTTTCCTTGTTTCAGTATAGCCTCTCACTGTAACAGGATTATCGTGCAAAGAGGCATAGTAATAGAGTATTTTTTAAAAATCTCAGGTCATCACTGTGAGGCTGTTTATTTTAGAAGGGAAATTAAGATAGTGTGAGCTATTGATTCTATCAAGAAAAGAGGAGGTATGAAAAAGTAAATGTGGAAATATGTTACCACTATTTACTTTTGAAGAAGCTTTGAGCGATGTCAGCTATAAAGAAATATTTTTTTAATATTTTTGCTCAAGTAAGAAGTTCGTTGTTACAGGTCTTGTTTGACTTCTATTTATTTTACTTTAAGCATATCATTTAAATAGCTTTATTCCCATCTGTAATTTAATTGTAACCATAGTAATGAACTATGTAATTGTAGCAAAAGTAGCAATAATAGAAAACAACATTTTGCGCTTTGTGATTGTAAGCACAAATAGGTTTCAGCAGTCGAAAGTGAAGAAATCTTGAACTTTAACTGTCTTTACCTAAAGATTGGGTTAAAATTTCAATAACACCAAGTTTATTCTTCTTCATTTCTCTCCTCTTTGCATAGTTTTAACCACCTTTTTCAAGATGGAGAAGTTAAGGGGGTTGAAATAATCACAGATGTATTGCTTATCCTTTCCTTGGGTATAAACGTCCCAAAATTGTCTCACAAAATTAATTAATTTTATATATTTTAACCTGCTTTTTATATTTGAGCTTTCTGAAAATACGTGAAGTTCGACAAGGAATTAGATTTTATGTTTCATTAGGCTTAGTATGTGTTTTCAAAATATTTATTTTAAAGTCTTGTCCACTCTTAAGTTAACATAAAACAGTAGATGTATAGAATTGTTTTGGTAGTTAACGATATCCTGTTGCTAAAGCTTGCATTCTCATTCTTCTCAGTTTTTATCTTAGATATTTTTTAAGCTTTTAAATAATGTTTAATGCAGGCAAATATAAATTAAGTGAAAAAAGCTAGTTTCAGCCAGTGCGGTGTACCCTGTAACGCCAATGTAGTCGACAAAGAGTGTTCATCCTTGGAAGCAGGTGTACAGCCTGATCTAGCGCTTGGCCAGTGCGCACGGCCCCTTGGGGTCTGGGGTGCGTCTGGTGTGGGCTGTCACACGGTGGGGTGCAGGTAGGGTCCTGGTGCTGAATGTCACTCAGAGGTGGAAACAGACATTCTCTGTGCCCTAATCTAAGGCTGTCTTCTAGAGTCACCTGCCTTATTTTATGTCATTCCAAAGAGACAGAAATCATTGCATTTTAGGACAGGAAGAGACTTGCCTGTGGTCTAGGCTAGATCTAACCCCTTTGTTTTATAGTGATAAAATCAAGACCCACTGATGTTTTAAATTGTCCCGTCAGCCCAGCTGGCACCCCACTCCTCTCTGGGAACCTACCACAGATAAAAGCACGTAGTCTGCATTTGCCTTGGACTTTTCATATGTGCTGAAGTTGTAGAGCAGTAAAACTGTTCTGTACATCAAGCTGTACCTCTCCAGTCTTTTATGTTGAAATAAAAGTCCTTTTTCAATTTCTGTTTTCAGTTTACTTTTACTTGTTGCCATTGTTGATATCTAAGATAGATAGTATGCAGTAAAGGTTGCAAGAACAAGTGACAAAGAGACTCAATGATAGAAGTTAATAGAACGAATGGAGGGAGAAACTTTTGATTTTGTTTTTTTAAATGATAATCTTTGAAATCATATTAACCAATTATTTTTTCTTTTTAAACTTTTATTCTCTAAGTATAAAGAATTCACAAATACATGCTCATTGTAACAAAAATTGCTAAAAAGAGTGAAATTTCCCCGTCCCACTCTCCTCACTTACCTCCTTTCCTTTAAGAACTATTTGTTGTGCTCCTCTGTGTCCCAGACACTCTTCCAGTTTCCAGGGGGCTGGCAGAGAAGGAAACAACGTGTGCCCCTCAGAGAGTTATGCTGTGGTAAGGAAGACAGACAGTAAGTGAATATTAGCATGATGTCAGGGAGTGAGCAACGGGTGATATAAAGAACAGAAAAGTGCGGGTGGTTAGATGAGGCAGCCAGGGAAGGCTTCTTGGAGGAGGTGGCCTTGTGACTGCTGGCATCATGTTTCAGCTTGAGGAAACAGCAGGTACGAGTGTCCTGAGGTGGAAAATGCTTGCAGGAGCCACACAGAGACCAGTGCAGCAACAACTCTTTGGGCTGAAGGAAGACCGGGAGGAAGTGAGTTCAGAGAGGCAGCCAGGAGCCCCAACAAGACTTTTGAGTTTTCTCTTTTGTTTTGAAGTGTGATGAGAACCATTGGGGAGTTTCAAGTAGGGGAGTGAGCAGATGTGATTTATGTGTTAAGTGTAACCCTGGATGCTTTATGGAGAACAAAGTGTGGTTACGGTCTCTGCTAGAACCAAGCACTGTCAACAGTCCACTGTGTGTCTTTCTAGACATCTGTGTGTGTGTGTATGCAAACATACAGGTGCAAGTAGATGTGCCAAGGGTTTTTTTTTTTTTTTTTGCATACATAGAATTATCTTATTGCATTAACATTTTCTTTTTAAAAAAATGTCAGATATTCCCATATTGGTATCAATAGATAAACTAATTTTTTAATATAGTCTATATCAGGGGTCAGCAGAATTTTTCTGTAATGAATCAGATAGTACATATTTTAGGGTTAGTGAGCCAAGAAGCAAAATCAAGATATGTAGGTACTTATTTAGTGAGAAAAAAGACATTTTCACAAAATTTTGATTGATGAAACTCAAGAGAGACTTGAACGCAATTTTTTGTAATACAAGTCTAATGAGAAAAACAATTCTATTTTGGGGAGAAGGAATGACTTTTCACTTAATTGAAGTTCAAATGGAGTGTTGCCATCATCAAAATTGATTGCAAATGTTTATTAAGGCTGCTGCATAGTAAGATTTTGTGTATTTCATCTTTGAAAATGCCTTTTCACACACACAGGTACTGCCAAATACTGATCAATCCGTAAGCAGATGGTTTTCATTGAGCATATTCGTTGCTTAGAATTATGGAATTCTATTAGATCCTGCTCTTGATTTGTGCCTTTTAGCATGCCCTTACTTAACAGGTTAAGCATTTTCAATGAAGGTTAGGTGGAAGCTCCTCAATTGTGCAGTTAAGTGGATTTTAAAATAAATTATCTTTGCTCCTGCATCGAGGTCTGAAAAACGTTGCTTGAGCACAGGAAATACGTCCACGTTAAATTTGCGTGGGGATGGAGATCTCACGTCTGGTTTTAACTTGTGACACCACAGGACAGGAAGTGTATAAGCTGCTTGATGTTACTCGTTTGTGGAAGTGGCTTCCCAGCCCCCGTGGCACTGGTAACCGCAGTTCTTCAGACCACTGCCTGAAGTTGGCTTTAATTGCCAATAGACAAAGCCAGTGGGTTGTCCTGAGCTAGCACACAGCTTGGCCCCTAATAGTTTCTCAATAGTGAAGGGAGCTGAAGTGGTTCCACCAGTGCCACGTGGCTGTCGGCAAAAGCAGAAGCCAGTCCTTTCCGCACCCACACCCTCACTGTTGTCCGCGGTTCAGTAGAGATTTTCTTCTTTGCTGTAGATGATGAAATTTTACACGTTGGCACAGACGTATGCCTTATGTAAACAATTTAGCCATGCCCAACTATTATGTTCTTTTTCATAGATAACAGTTACCAATTATTAGAGGTGATGAAGGTTAGCACTCTTCTTCTACAAGCTCTGTCTACCATATCTTACTGAAAGCAAGTCTCAGGCATGGAGACATTTATTTTTATTTTTATTTTTTTTGTGAGGAAGATCAGCCGTGGGCTAACATCCATGCCAATCCTCCTCTTTTTGCTGAGGAAGACTGGCCCTGGGCTAACATCTGTGCCCATCTTCCTCCACTTTTTTATATGGGACACCGCCACAGCATGGCTTGAGAAGCGGTGCATCCGTGCACGCCCAGGATCTGAACCTAGGCTGCCGCAGCAGAGTGTGCACACACAACTGCTACGCCACAGGGCCAGCCCCAGAGACATCTATTAAACAAACATTTACATTGGCAAGCAGATGGGAAACAGACCTACGTGCTGAAGTCCCAGGCCTCTGTTCTTTGGGTTGACTGTCCGTACCTTATCTGAAAGGTTTACTGGAGGCAGCCAATACTCTAGGGCCATGTTTCTGTAAACTTATTGTCAGCATCAGGCCACCAGATACCTTGATCCTGTAGTTTCTCATGGGACCATTTAGGGATCAGGCCTTGCATCTCACCCCCTGGGACACCAGCTCATGCTCGATTTTTATGCCCTGTTCAGGCATGGGTAGGGGGTGCCCCTATAATATTTTAACCAATCTCGTTTTCTGGAAGCCATGAATTTAAACAATGAGCAACTGTGTCTGACATCCATGATGCTGATTAACAAGCTGATGATGTCACCAATCATAGCTCATTTTTTTTTCATTTATTTTGCCAGTTAGCAAAGCATCTAATATTGGGCAGGAGGATTTATGGGAGTTGTCTCTGGAGTGTGGGGTTTTTTTGTTAACCTGTTAGCTGACCACTCCTGGCGTGGCTGCTTTTCATGGGGAAGAACTAGCACACAGTTCGCATCATACAGTCTATGCTGAAGTACGTAAACTACTTTTCAGCCTTCATGACACAGTGCTTTTCTGTCCTAGCGCATTAATCCCCGTGATGGAAATGACACATGACGTCTGTG